CAATCATAATACACTGTGATATAGCCTGGGTCATTAGTTTGTTGCATTGTTTTGTTTTCTCACTACAATCGATCCGCTCAATAGGGCAGAGACGTCTCATTCAGGTGATCTTGGACCGTTTGATTTGGCGCGGATGCGAGCGCAACTGCTGGACATATGCTAAATAAACCGCGCTAATGGGGGAAACGAGACAGATTCCGAAACAAACGTCTATGTGTGAAAGCACCATAAGATTGTATTTGCACACAATTGACAGACAATCACAGAATGCAGCACGCAGCTCTGGTTCCAAAGAGCTCTGTTTCACTTATTAGCACCGTTGTAGTGAATGAAACTTAAGCAAAGAGAGAGCTTTCCGCTCTTCTTCCTTAATTCAGTGGGAATAGTCAGCCAAGAAGAAAACTGGGCAGACAGCAGGTAAACAGAGTGAATAGCCGGAGTGATCGGGTGGGAAGAACACCGAGAAGGAGCAGGACTGAATAGACCTGCTGTATGTCCGCATCCTTATGCCGAGTTCAGACTGCATGATTTTCAAAGTAGTCGTGTCACAGATGTTTTCACACTGCATGACTATCTGGGCTAGCATTTCGTCGCTGCTTTGTTTACACTGCAACATGGTTCGGCGACATGGACATTCACATTGCATGACTTTACTATAGGGAGATTCGCCGACAACTTCGTCCAAACTACGTCTCACAGCCAAAAACATGTAGTATATCTTTTGTTATTAACTACATAATGAGAAAGAAGCCTTAAATGGGGTAGAACATGTACATGTTTGCTCACCTGGGTTTAAAGGGAATTAGCCATTTCTCCTCAACGTTGATAATAAACTAATTTCTTTCTGTATGAAATATCAAACAGACACGGTTGCTCCAGAGTCCTTTCAAACCTCCACTAGTTTTTCCTCCATTTCGTGGGTCCAAATAAACCGAAAAAGAGCGTTTTTAACTTCTCCCCCAGCCTCCCGCTGGCCTGCAGCAGGTATACACACACGCACACACAAGTGAAAGCTGCTCTCTCATTGGCTGTAGGTGATCGCTGATGTTATTTTCAGTCAAAACTCAATTCACACGGCATGATTTGAATCGCCGACAGCTCCAGATATTTAGCACGCTAAATATCTCACAGGCATCGGCGACTCATCGGCGATTTTCTCAGATCGCGTCTTTGATCGTTCATACTGTGTGATTGTCACTCACGTGCACGAGCAGCGATTTGCCTGTGATTTCAGGCATTTGTCGGCAATTTCTCAAAACCTGTCGGCGAGCCAAAATCAGGGCTAAAATCACGCAGTCTGAACTAGGCATTATGGAATGCTTCTGGGTCCTCGATCAGACCTCGATCCGCCTGTTAGCGACCATTGTTCTAGGCTTTGCAACAAAAACAAAAAATGGCATTCGTTGTGTTTTTGTTTCTGTCTGAGTTTATATAGAGTGTCTGCTGAAACACTGACAGCAATGTGCTGTGATTTGACCTCACCTACGCGTTTGCGCTGTAGCTTCTTCACTTACCAACTGAAACACACAGAAACTCCACACGCACACACAACAAGCGAGGAAATGTTATGTCAACACCAGATTTACATACTAATAATCAGGGCTTTACATTAACACCCGCCAAATGCGGGTAGATTTCAGCTTTGGCGGGTTAGACAGGTTAGACAGCCACTTTGGCTGGTTGAAAATTATTTTTAAATTGTGGTTTGCTTAAAAGCAGCGTTCAACTATAAGAATGACCCAATATGCGTGCAAATGTGATCTTAGAATGGAGAAACAGCACGACTAACAAAAAAATTGCATTCGCGTGAGCAGAAAAAAGCAGATGAATACCAAATGAGGGGATGATCACAGCTGATGTGATGCGCGCGACTGTTAAAGCGTGTGCACGCTCCTGTTTTCTTCCTTGAAGCACGCGTGCCTGGAACGCAACTGTTATCGGATCTCTTTCAAATAGTCAGGCAAAAAAGTAATGCTAATGCACACACAGTCTTGCTGCTTTCAAGAGCTCCAAATAAGTCTTTTTGTAAGCAGCACCGGTTGCTTTCACTTTGAACAGATTATTAATTGACCTTAACCATGTGATCATACTTTCATTATCACACAGTATGTTTTTCACCTGCTTTCTTTTACTTACGGTTATTTTTGTTAATATGGTTTAATTATAATTTTTTACAACAACATTTGCTTTATTATGAGATTAACTCTCTATTTATGTGTAGTTTACTGGTGATCTGAGAGACCTTTAGCGAGGACAGATTACTGTGCATATTTTTGATACATGACAATAATTATTTTTAACAGTCAATTGTTTTTCTTTGTTTTTTTAAAAGAAATGTTTTGTTAAATAAAAAGTATAGTATGAAGCTATATTTAGCTTGTTTGACACATTTAAAATTTGTGGCTAAGAAATAATTTGTGTTTGGTGTGGTCAGAGATGAATTAGGTAAGTCCTTAATTTTGAGTTCTGAAAACTCATGTGAAATGAAAACTAATTGCAGCATAACACTATTAAACCATGACCCATTTGCTCATACACGACACACAAAACGTGAAATGAATGAGGAGGCATGCGGACATAACACAAAATCTAAATTAAGCAATTTTAGCATGTCAAAGTCATATTTATGCATATAAAAATATTTTCACAACAACAAAATTGTGGCTAGTGAAAATGCAGAGTGGTAGTAGCTTTCCAACGTTACTAGCCACTATGCATTTTCAGTAGCCACAATTTTGTGGCCAGTGATCAAAAAAGTTAATGTAAAGCCCTGCTAATAATATATATATATGTATGTATATATATATATATATATATATATATATATATATATATATATATATATATATATATATATATTAGAGATGCACCGATGTATCGAACAACAATCGGTATCGATCGATAGAAGCACTCCCCGCTCCGCTGATTCTATCCGTACACAGCGGTCACTGGCATTCCCCGCCCGCCGTGTAAACAAAGGGGCGGGGATGCCGGTGACGTCACCACGCACCCTGCCCCTTTGTTAGACGCTGTGACGGGCGGGAAGTGCTTAGGAGGGAACTCGCGCCGGCCAGAACCAAGGTAAGCTGTTCCCGCCCCTGCCTGCCACTTAGCTACCTATCTGCAGCCTGCCACCTACCTAGCTACAGCCTGCATCTTATATATATTATAGGTGGATACAGACTGGCACAGACTGATGTGACTGGAGTGGGGTGGGGGTGTTTTATTTATACATATATACGCCTTTTTTTAGGTGAGGGAATGGAAGTTTTGAGTGTGTGAGAAGTGTGTGAGAAGTTATTCTCCACCTTGAACTTCAATAAGTCAAAGTACAGGTCTAGACTTAATGATGATCATCTTCAAGCCATACTGAGGGTCTCAACTGCTTCCGCTCTAAAGCCAAATGTGGTTCAGATTTGTGAGAAGAAGCGCTGTCAAGTCTCTGGCAGGAAGGAGTAGGCAAAAGATGCCATGTTCAGAAGAACGGTTCATAATCTTCACTCAATGTTCTATTAATGTTCAGGACACTTCATGTTCAGAAAAAATAATTAAAACTGTTAATAATGACATTTGAGGACTTTTTTTTGTGAAATCCCTTATGCGGCCCAGCCTCACCCAGACTTTGCCTCCTGCGGCCCCCAGGTAAATTGAAATTGAGACCCCTGTTCTAAACTGTTATTAATGGCAGAAATTTACACATAGATTAAGGTAGATCTGAACTGTGATTTCCAATAATAAAAACCCAATGTCAAAAATTTCGGCTATAATAAAAGCAGTTATTATTTTTTTAAAAACCATTTTAAGGACAAACTTATTAGCCCTTTTAAGCTAATTTTGTTTCGACCGTCTACAGAACAAACCATCATTATACAATAACTTGCCTAATTAACCTAGTTAAGCCTTTAAATGTCACTTTAGGCTGTATAAAAGTGTCTTGTCTAGTAAAATTCTAAAATCTAGTAAAATATTATTTACTATCATCATGGCAAAGATAAAATAAATCAGTTATTAGAAATGAGTTATTAAAACCTTGATGTTTACAAATATGTTGAAAAAATATTCTCTCTGTTAAACAGAAATTAGGGAGAAAAAAAAATCAACTGTATGTATGTATGCACACACACACACACACACACACACACACACACACACGTATACATATATACATTATACATATATACATTATATATATATATATATATATATATATATATATATATATATATATATATATATATATATATATATATATATATACATATATATACATATATACATTATGTATATGTATACATTATGTATTATGTATATGTATATATATATATTTCAGCATATATAAGTACATTAAATTCATATTTTCTATAGAATTATGTACAATATAATATTTATGCACAGACATTAGTTTAGTCAGTACTGAAGTCAAATCTTGGGCTTATTTAAAAAATAAAATAAAAAAATAAAGAAACATTCCAAAAATTGGTAGAACAAATTTATGTTAGAAAATATGTAAAATAAAACATGTAAAAAATAAATAAAAAAATCTACAGAAACAAAATAACATTTTCTTGAAATTTTGTAATTTTTAACATTTTTTGCAATATTTCACATGCATTTAATTGTATTACCTTTCAATTTCTAAAAATGTTTGGTGACTAAAATATTATTTGCTGGTTCTGGGCTGCCCACTAAATGCCACTCTTTGAGTGCCTTACAATTGTGTCGTGTTGCCAGTGATGAGTGCATGATAAAAGGATTCCTCTTTGGTTCCATCAGGAGAAGTTTGCGTTTTTGGCTGCCTGATTAACCCTCCATCCAGCATCAGAATTTTTGTTTGTTTAAAAGATTATTTATTTTGAATTTGATGCTTTATTACACTTTAATTTTTTTAATTATTTTATTAATGGCATGGTTTTTGTTTATGTTTTAGGCTATCTATAACCAGTCATTATCAGGATTTGTTTCTAATATCACCCAGTCCAACCCCTTCTATTTCAGCTTACCATGCGGGACGCTTGTCTGGCAATTTGGTACACGGTCCAGCCATTGGCCACATTCTCCAACTGTTGTCTGATCACAGCCTTCACCTCAGCTGAGAGAGACGCCTGACTGGCCACAAATAACACAGTTGCCAAAGACACCTAAAAAAGAAAACAAAACAAATTACTCTCAACTAATTGAACAAAATGAGATCTTAAAAATCTTCAGTTAGACAGAATTGTGAAATATTCCCACCAGAAGCTCCTGCTGTTTCTCTGAAGTCCTGTGACTTGCCACCCTGAAGAGCTCCAGCAGGTCTCCCAGCATTCCCTCTACCAGCACTGGCTGTTGTGTGGCAATAGCAGCCAGAGCCTGACACATGAGCACCCGAGCAGGGTCACATGCGCAATGCAGCTGCCTAAGCAGGAGCTCCACTGAGCTCTGACTGAGATGAGGACAAGTCTTCAACATCTGCACCAGAGACGTGAGCGCCGTCTGACCAAACAAACAACTCAAAGAATTAATACAGCTGCTGCAAGTGATTGACAGTACAACAGAATCAAAACAAAGAGTTCAACAAATAAGCGCCCCCTCTTTTTAGTAGCCTTAACTACTATGTAACTACAATGCATTTAAAGTTTTTAAAATGTATCGCAGAACACTTCTGGTGCTCTTGAGGTGGGATACCGTTAGGGTTAGGGTTTGGTGGTATTGGTATGTTTAAGGGTTGGTTAAGTTGTAAAGCAGTGGTTCCCAACTTTTTATAACTCACGGCCACCTTAAACATTCATACTAGAGCTGTGCAGGAGAGATTTTTTTTACCTATTTGGGTTTGGTCCCAACTCCGTGCAATGTTTGTGTAAAAATGCACATTTACACATGACGTTGATTGTAACTATATGTCGGAAACCATGACATGAGCACCACACTCGACCGAACAAAACTCTTTCACTATGGGAGAAATAGGCGTCTGCATGTAACGATTCATTACTTGCTGATTCCCAAGTGAACAAGTGTTAATGCGTTATTGCTTTGAGTAAGTTAAATACCAATATTTTTAAGTTTTAAAATTTATGTTTTTACATAGGCCAATATTTATTTCGTAGGACTGCCATGGATAATTTTGAGCTATCTTTTAAGCAATTTTTTATCAATATAAGAATTATCTTACTGTACTTGTCAAATCTTGGATCGGGTCCCTAGTTCAGACAAGCAGTCAAAACCAACTGAGAACTAGAGCACTGGACCCTTTGACATATATTCAGCAAATAAATTAAATATTAAGTTAGCAGGTTGGTATTAAACCAACCGAATACTGAACGCAAAGTAACAATTTATAATTTATTACTCCTCACTTAAACATTATAATAGTCATATTACATTAAATTATGACTAGACATTTTTACATATATTAAAATTTTTATTTCTATTAATAACAGCTCGTGGCCACCCTGCAATACTGTCACAACCCTCAGGGGGGCCATGGCCCAAAGGTTGAAAACCACTAGTGTATGGGATGGTCAACAGTAGCTACATTTCCATCCAACTATTTTTATGCTCATTTCGGATATGCACATAAAAAATGGTTGATGGAAACGCCAAGATGCGACTTTTGAATCGATAAGAAAAGATGTGCATAAACTACGATAGAAACACTTTTATCAAACAAATTCCAGTATGCGCATTAAAAAGGTCATGTGATTTTGTTATAAGAGATCATGTAATGATAAAAATGTGTGCAAATGGACCAACCTGCAGGCTGAGAACATTGCAAAACATCTGAAATGTTGATTTGGTCATTCTAAAACAGCCTCACCATTTCAGTTTTAGTGTTATATTGTTAATGATCTCCAGAATCAAGAGTGTCTGTGCTCCATGTCCCACATATCAAGTGCCACCGCGCATCACTGCGTGTCAGGATTGCTTTCTGAGGTGTAAGTCATTTATTAGATCAAGAAAAGATTGATGCAGCTTCTCCTACTGATAAAAAAAAAATATTTTTACTGCTCATATTTAGTGCCAGTTAATCAGGAAGTGACAATTTTGTTTACTTTGACATGGCTTTATTTCCATGTCTTTTATGCGTTATTCCAATTTTGTGCATAAAGTTAATTAGCATTTTTAGATAGAAACATAGCTAGTGTTATTAATTACAGAAATGAATTAGAGATGTGATTACATGCAGGTATTTAATTAAATCATAGGTCCAATGTAAAAACCTGTATTTGCACAATAAGTACATTGTAACAAATTATTAATTTCAATGTAAGTAAATATTAGCTAAGACTACCAAAGTTAAAGTGGGAGCAAATAAGTGCAAAAAACTTGCAACTAATCACATCAGAAGGAAATGGCTAACACACAATAAATCACTTGTAATTACAGTTTTCTTTTGACAATAAAATTTAACTGAAAAACACTACGGGCCCTATCATACACCAGGCGCAATAGGCACAAGGCAAAACGCAATTGTTGTTTGCTAGTTTTAGCTCGGTGCAAGAATCATTTTGACGCTTTGCACCATGCAGTTTAAATAGCAAATGCATTTGGGGTCAGATGTGCGCCCATAGGCGTTGTTTTAATGTGTTTTTCTATGTGTTGTTCTCTCTCTCTCTGACAAAATAAATCAAAGTGATGCATACAATAATAAAAGAAAAGGCATAAAAGAAAAGTAAGGAACTCAATGCAGCCTAATGTAATCGTCTGCAGTCACATATCGACACCTGTCCATCGTCAACAAGGGTTCCCTGTAACCCTGACCAATTATAGAGTCTCACTGTTATTTGTGGGTCATTTGCATCGCGCTAATTGCATTGTATTTCCATTCCCTCACATAATAAACATTACATATATTTTTATATGATGTAAAACTAGCCAAAACAAATGACAACAACACAGTGTTGCTTTTTTTAACAACAGCACAGCAGATAACTGTAAATCTAATTATTATTATTATTATTTCTTACTATTTATTACTGATTGAATTATTTTCTTATTAATTTAAAATTTTTTATATTGTTTATCTTATTTTTTGCTAAAAAAATCCAATCCACTCAAATCTCTTTATTTTTATTTTTTAACATAAAGATGAACAAAGAAACAAATTATAAATTAATAATTAATAATATAATTAATTACTTGTGGAAAAACCTGATGTGGCCCTCAGGTAAATTGAGTTTGATCTAAACTATAAACTGTTCTCCAGAGATGGGGGACTCAAGTCATATGACTTGACTCGAGTCAGACTTAAGTCACAAAATTTAGGACTTGAGATTTGCTTGACAAATATCCAAAAAGAGGCTCGACTTGACTTGGACTTGGCTGTCATGACTTGATACTTGACATGGACTTGAGTTAAATGACTCGAAATAACTAGTTTTTGTTAAATACACAATCGTTTGTTATATATTATGCATTTAAAAACAAAACAAAACTGAAAGTTTTAGGTCACACATGCGTAGTATTAACTTTATCTGGACTGGATTATTTGGTTCCGAAGAACCCCTTTAAATGATTGATTAGATTCATTTAAACAATTAATTTGCTATTTGGCCATCAGATAATGCGGTGATGAAAAATGGAAGGCGCTCTGCCAAAGATAGCCTATTTTACAGGTTTAAAAATTACAAACAAGACGGCTAATCAAAGTTTGTACTATTTAGTCTGACTCAGTGCTTGCCACACATACTATAGCCTACTTTTACTTGGGCAAGTATATTTAGTTACAGTTTTTTTCTACAGTTATTATCATTCTTGTAAACTGTTTTGCATCCGACTAATTTAACCAAATATCCGCAATCAATGTAGTGGGAAATCCTCTCTTGTTACTCGTTTCGTTCTGTGCGCCCGTGAACTGTCAGCATCCCCGCACTGCAGACACACAAGACATTCGCGAGAGAAACATTTAACAACTAATTCTTGAGTCTAAACGACTCAAAAAACTTACTGTATAATCGGAGAGGACAAAATGACTGGTATTATCTTCCTGCAAAATATACCTACACCATCAGTAATCAATGCATTTGCCTTCTTAAAATAATCTACACGTTTAAATCTTGTAAATATGATTATGTTATAATACAAGATATTCTGTTTTATTCTTTTTTCTAAAATTTATTTCTCATTTACTGTATAGTTTATTAATTTGATGATGTCATTAGTCTAATACATAGGCTATTTTATATACATATCTAAAATGCTTTTGCATTCAAGTTTGCTTTGAACTTGAAAGAGAGAGAAGTAGATTTGACCTGTCAGCAGTGCACATTGCTCCTGAATAAGTTTTTTTTTTACTTTAACCCATTAAAAGTAAACAGTGTATAACATTGTCAAAATAAATTAAATTAATGTAACAAAAAAAATAATAATGGAATATGTTTTGTTTGTCGCATATAAGAAGCACTTGTAGTATTGTATTCGTATGCTAATGTTTAACATTTACATTTTTTACATGTTAGGGGTTAAGTTTAAATAAAAAAGATTGCATTGAAACAATGTGCTAAATGCTATATTCCAGTTTTTTTAAAAACTTTTTATATATATATATATATATATATATATATATATATATATATATATGAGCAATATCACACGAGTAGCAATGCGATATGGCTGTATATCGGCACTGGTGGAAGGCGTTTATACAACAGTTTAACGACATAATTGTGTATATAAAAACAAAATCAAACATGGAGTCTCAAAAACCCTTTTGTATGAGGAACTACTTTCTTCTGCATTGGATTCAAATCATAAGCTGACAGTTAAACAGCTGTTAAAACAGTTAAAAGCATCTTTTAAACTTTAGATCTGTAGTGTCAGCTTTTTGCTGGCTGTATGTGTGCGGAGTAATACACAAAGGGTAAAGAGGCTGTAGTAGTTCTGATATTGCAGAATATCGCACGGCTTTCAGCCAATCAGATTTGAGAACCAGACAGAACTGTTGTATTAAAAATATATATATATATATATATATATATACACACACACACACACACACACACACACACACACACACACACACACACACACACACACACACACACACACACACACACACACACACACACACACACACACACACACACACACACACACACACACACACACACACACACACACACACACACACACACACACACACACACACACAGTATAGCCTTGATTAACACACTGTATACTTTTGATTGGTACTTACTAGGGATGTTCGGAGCAGCCGGTATTTGTATTTGTATTTGTTGAGGGGGGAAAAGTATTTGTATTTGTATTCGAGTAAAATTCAAAATGGCGCAAAAATATATATTTTTTCTATTACACTTCTAATTTACGTTGTAGTGAAAGTATTGTTTTTGAAAAGAAAATAACATAGAAGCCATTATCTCATCCATGGTTAAACCAACAACTAATAAAATACCATTGTGAATATTATGAACCCCACCACCACCGTTCTTGACACTGAATAGACAGAATAAAAACAAATAATACTTCAAAAAACTGTTCTTCTTCTGAAAGGACTTCTTTCCAATGGAAAGAATTCCAAAAACTAAAATTAGCTAAATAAATCTAAATAAAACCCTGCTTGGGAGATCTGGCAGAACAAAAGTATTCTATATCATACTAAAAGATACAGCCCTGCTATTGTCATCTGCCTGCCACAAAACAGACACAAAGTTTTTTTTTTACTTTTTTATGTTTAAAACTGACTTGCTGGGGCAGAATGTGGCTGTGTTGATGGTTTGGGGCTTGTGGAGGATTTAGCAGAACATAGCTGTGCTGATTGAGGGGATTGATGCTTGTGGGGGTTCACAGACAGTATCAGGAGAGGATGCTTTTAGTGCATGTGATAATACATTACATAGAAGGTTGCGCGGTGGCACAGTGAGTAGCACTGTCGCCTCACAGCAAGAAGGTTGCTGGTTCAAGCCCTGACTGGGTTCTCCCCATGTTGGCGTGGGTTTCCTCCTGGTGCTCCGGTTTCCCCCACAGTCCAAACACATGCAATACAGGTGAATTGGGTAAGCTAAATTGTCCCTATTGTATGTGTGTGAAAGAGAGTGTATGGATGTTTCCCAGTTCTGGGTAGCAGCTGGAAGGGCAGCCACTGCGTAAAACATATGCTGGATAAATTGGTGGTTCATTCCACCGTGGCAACCCCAGATTGATAAAGGAATTTAGCCGAAAAGAAAATGAATGATTATGCATAGAAGATGTTGACAGATGTTTAATATCTCTGCCTCTGCTGATTTCACTTTTGCACACATTATACAGTATCACTTTGTTTTATCTGCAGCAGCACTGTCTGTAAAATGCTTCCACAAAGAACATGAAGTTTTATTTTTTTTTACTGGTGGAGGACCAAGAAATGGCTCAGCAGCACTCTCACTCTTTTTCATGGTGCCAAAATGTATTTGAGGAGTTTCAAGTTAATAAAAAGTGACGGGAAGCTATGCTAAGGTTAACTAGCCTATAGCATATATCTTGCTGTCTGCAAAAGAGTAATTTAGACGTACCATATAACTCCCATAAGTGCATACTATTCGACATAACTGCAAAAGCATCGTTTTAACCTTTATAAACGAACGTTAACGTTACTCTGTCAACAGTCTATTGTCTAAATTACCGCGCTAACAGAGCTAACGTTGCGTAAACAGAGAGCACCCGATTGCAAACTTCAAAAATGCAGCGTAATGGAAAATCCCGAACAAACTCCGCTACAAGTTTATAAACTGGATCTGGAACCCAATTAAGGTACAAAAATAGGCCACACTTTACAATAAGGTTCATTAGTTAATGTTACTTAATGCATTTACTAACATGAACAAACAATGAACAATCCATTTACTACTGTATTTGTTCATGTTAGTTAACGTTAATTAATAAAAATACAGTTGTTCAATATGAGTTCATGTTAACTCATGGTGCATTAACTAATGTTAACAAGCATGAGTTTGGATGTTAATAATGCATTAGTAAATGTTCAATTATGATTAATAAATGCTGTACATGCGTTGTTCATGATTACTTCATGTTAGTAAATGCATTAACGAATGAACCCTATTGTAAAGTGTTACCCAAAAATCTATTTAACAAAAATAGTGATGCAGAGAAGTATTTTTTTCGCTCAGCTGAGCCTTCTCTGTCTGCTGCTGTGGAGTATCTTGTGCCAGAGAGCTTTTACCTCCGCCCCGCCCTCCGACTGAGCGTCTCTCTCTCTCTCTCTCTCTCTCTCTCTCTCTCTCTCACTCACTCTGGCATGCACTGTGGTCTCATGAGGAAGCGCTGCTTTTTGATATGATGCTTTTCTTGCTCCCGAATACAAATAATTTTTCAAGTATTTGTTCGAAATAAGTATTCGTAAAAACACGCTATTCGTGCCTTTCAGAATACCGTATTCGGGTTCGGCTCCACCCTTCGTACTTACTTTTAGTGTGGCCTGGGCAGTCTTACTGTCATCTTGACTGCAGAGCAGAATGAGAGACTCCATCCCCATCACTGTTTCCTGTTCCAGCTGAATGACCTCTGACAAAATATTCAATCGAAAAACATGAAAATTAAAAATAAAGATACTAAATAAAGTTATTTCTCGTCTAAATGTCCATTATATTTTAAATAGAGCGTACTCAAGTCAATACAACCAAAGTGTATTAATTTTTAACAATTTATTTACAATTGAACTATGAACCAACCTTTCTCAGGGCAGAAAGCAGCAATGCTAGTCAACACTGTGATTCCATGTGCTGCAACTGCCAGGTCACTGTGATAACAGCACTCCTGTGCCAGCTTTACCAGGTCAGTGTGGTGAGGTGCAGGAGATGAATCACCTGCATCATCATATAGACAAATCAAAATTTAAACATATCAAACCACACCAACTACAATCCTTAAGCCATTAACTTATCTGTCCTGTACCTGCATTAGGGCTGAAGTACTGTTTAATAGCGATGGTGCCAGACAATGTGGAGAGGACAGACAGCATTCCCAGCTTCAGGCTGTTATATGGGGTGTGGAGTGCACACTCGCACAGCACCTACGAACACACATCATGGAGATGATGTATATATATATATATATATATATATATATACAAATTTACTTTAGTAAGAAATGAAATGATCTGTGACTCTCTCACCTGTATGTTTTTCCTGGTCCACAAATGAGGAGCCTTTTTGGCCAGGAGCTTGAGATCCTGAATGGAGAGTCTTTTTACAGCTTTTCTGGGGTCTTCCTTCAAGTACTGCAGAAGAAGACAAATCTGCGAGAGAGAGAGAGAGAGAGAGAGAGAGAGAGAGAGAGAGAGAGAGAGAGAGAGAGAGAGAGAGAGAGAGCGAGAGAGAGAGCGAGAGAGAGAGAGAGAGAGAGAGAGAGAGAGAGAGAGAGAGAGAGAGAGAGAGAGAGAGAGAGAGAGAGAGAGAGAGAGAGATTTTTTTTATTTTTAAAATCTTTTAATAAAAAAAACAATTATTATTATTTACATCACTTTACAAGAAGGAGAGCGATAATCATAATTTACATCAACTCCCTTATGAATACAATTTTTTCATCATCATCAACTGAACATAAAGCATTACAACACCACTGAATTTTAAAAACCTCAATTGTTAGCATCAATCTATGGAAGTTAAAATCAATAAGAATTCTTGCTTTAACCATGTTTTTAAAAACAAGAACAACATCTTGTCCTGACTATCTCTTATTTCTTCGAGTGATGTAGATTGCATATTTAGCTTGTCCTACAATGAAATTAATAACATGACATTTTAACTTTTGTTTTGGACTATACAAAAACCCAAGAATGAAATCTTGCTCAGTAAAACAAATATTAAAATAATCAATAAAGACACCTTTTAACAATTCAAAAAAAGGATCAAGTCGATTACAGTCCATAAAACAATGAAATATAGTCTCTCGTTTTAAACAGAAAGGACACTTATCACTTACATTGGGGTTTAAAATGGATACAAAGGCATTCACTGCAACGGCTCCATGTAAGATTCGCAATTGTAAGTCACCAATCTTTTTTATTAATGGTGGTTTGTATATTGCTCTTCAAGCAGGTTTAATTTCATTATTAATCTTTTACTTCTTTCTCCATACTGTTTCAGTTTTTACACTTAAATTTTTTTTGATGAATGACTTTAACAATGCATTTATACTGATTTTTTCCCTCTACTGTGCAAAAATCAATATACATATTGGTTCCCAAATTAAACAGAGGGTTATGATAACAAGACTCATCCACAGCAGGTAAAAGTTCAATTTCTGGGAAAAGATCTTTACTGTCAGGGATTAAAGTCCCTGCCTCATATTCTTTTAAAAGTGTATTTTCTTCATCTGTTAGAACCATATTCAATTTATCCAGATACTTCTTTACAAATCGTAACGATTGCACCCCTAAAAGGTCAGCAACTTGTTTGCATCTTTGCAAATCATATCCTGATTTATTTATTATATCTTTTCACTTGAAAATCCTTTTAGACCATAATAAATGTGTTAATCCAAGAAAATCATCTTCAGAAGCATCGAACCGAGCTCCAAAAATAAGTGGCTCTTCCAACAACCAATAAATAGAAGTTGCTGGTTCCATCCATCTGTTTAAACATAGCCCAAAATTTAAACAAACTTTGATAAAAAGCAGGAATACCAGTAAAATTCAAACATTTGTAGTCCATTAAAAACAATGTTAAGTCCATTTCCATGTTACCTACTTTCCTCAAAATGCTTAGTGTCAGAGGTCTCCACGCGACCGAATAAGGTCCCGTTAAAATTTTCTGTACAAACTGAAGACGGAAGGTGGCTTTTCTGCTTGCAAGATTTACTAGTCCTTGACCTCCTTCCTCTTTAGGGAAAAAGAAAATGCTTTGAGGAATCCAATGATAATTGTCCCAAAAAAAGTTCACCCTTTCTCTTTGAATGTTTATGAGGACTTCATTTGGAAAATCCACACAAGCAATTTTATGCCAGAATGAAGATGCCACAAGATTATTAATAACAAGCACACACCCACTATAGGACATTTGAGGGAGTAACCATTTCCACTTTTCTAACCTACCTTTTACTTTTTCGTATAACCCTTCCCAATTTTTCCTGACAAAACACTCATTTCCTAGATAGACACCAAAATACTTTAGCCCTCCTCTTTTCCAAATCAGTCCTCCAAGTAGATCAGGAGGACATGTACTCTAAATCCCCACTAATATTGCTTCACTTTTCCCCCAATTTTCTTTAGCAGAAGAAATATATTTGAACTCATTAACAATTCTTTTCAACTCATTGACATCATCTTTTCCATTTACAAAAACTATTACATCAGCTGCATAAGCAGAAAGGTGTACAGAATTGTTACAAGAAGGGAAAAATAAACCTTTTAACTTATCACGTAACTTTTGAAGTAAAGGTTCAATAGCCAGTGAATACAACATGCCAAACATTGCACAGCCTTGCCTGACTCCTCTCTGAACTCTAATCGGAGCACTCAAACCAATATTAATCTTAAGAACACTTTCAATGTTACAGTACATAGTCTTAATCATGGATATAAACAAAGGACTTATCCCAAAAGCTTCTAAAGTGTTCCATAAAAACAAATGTTCAACTCTGTATCAAAAGCTGTATCAAAAACTCTGTATCATCAATGTATCAAAAGCTTTCTCTTGGTCAAGAGAAATTAAGCCACAATCAATTCCTTAAAGCTTTGAAGAGTCTAAAATGTCTCTGATTAAGGCAATATTATCTAAGATGGACCTGTTAGGGATGCAATAAGACTGATCAGAATGAATTAATTGTCTTAAAACTTTACTTAGTCTTAAAGCTAATACTTTGGATACAATTTTGTACTCTGAACGTAAAAGTGAAACTGGGCGCCAATTGCTGATGTACTGAAGGTCACCTTTCTTAGGCAACAGTGTAATTACTGCTCTTCTACAGCTTAGAGGTAACTGTCCTCTTTTTTAGACTGTCATTAATGACTGCTAGTAATTCCTATCCTATTGTGGGCCATAGTGTTTTATAAAACTCAACAGTTAACCCATCAATTCCTGCAGATTTGCCATTTTCCATTGTCATCATAGCAGTATAAAGCTCTTGTAATGACAAAGTCTGTTGCAGTTCTTTGTTTGAACCCTCATCCACCTTTGGTAGCCCTTCTAGAAAATTCTCAGCATCTGCACCCCCTTCCACAAGTTCAGATTTATAAAGGTCAGAATAAAAATCCACAGCACATCTTCTAATGTCAGCAGGTTTAATGAATTCTTGTCCTGTGGCTGATCGTAAAGAGTGAATAATTTTACTCTGACCTTTTTTCAACTCCAAATTAAAAAAAAAAATTTAGAAGGAGCATCCATTAGGTTAATAGACTGAATGCGAGAACGAACCAAAGCTCCTTGTGACTTAATTCCTAACAGGTCAACCAACATTTCTTTTTTCTTCTTTAGTTCATTAATATGCACTCAAAAAATGAATTATGGCATTAGTTGGTCCAAAGAATGTAACGATGTTTAAATTAAACAATTCGCTTATGTTTGTGTATTAAAAATAAAAGTGTTGTGTTGGAAAAAATTAGAAAAAGTAAGTTTTCACATTTAAACAGCTCGCTTAATTAACATGAATGAAAGGGAGTTGTGTTGCTTCTGCAGTACTGCATTTTGGTCAATAGGTGGAGTAATATCTGCACATGCGCAATTTCAAAACAACACAGGAAGTAAGAAGATTCAAACCACAACGATCACTCTCAGCTCGGCGCCATATTATGGGAATCAAAAAATGAAGATTACAGTACAAATTGAGAACGTGCACAAAGCTTTCCCCAATGTGGACACACAGGTGAGATTTTTTTTTTTACTTTTTATGTATTTATACTGAGGCTGTGACAACATTTGAATCATAAATGTACTCTCTTGTAATACTATGTTGTGTTTGTGTATAGTATTGCTATGAAATTGCCATGTTCCCTGTGTCTTTTCCACATTATAGACAGATAAATGTATAGTTTGTTTTGCATTCCTGTGAAATTTTATACTTGGTATAAATTAACTCCCTCAAAATAAAGTTGCAAACGTTGGTAGTAAGGAATAGTCATGTTAGAATAACTTAGTCTAAGCTTTTCACTCATCATAGCACACGTGCTGCTAATGATGTGACAATAAAAGTGATTTGATTTTTTATTTGATTTGATAGTCTTTATTTTAAATGAGTGTCAAGCAGTTTGTCGAGTTTGAATGCCAGTTTTGATAACTTACATAAAATTTATTAAAATGTGGTGTTGGCACATTGTTATTTATTATCTAATTGTATTATTCAAGCCTGTTAACTTAAAAAAAAATCAGCAAAAAAGCATATGTGACACTTAAATAGTATGACATCTAGCATGATGACATATTTAATGTAAGCTTATTTGTTTGGTCATGTAAAACGTTTAAATTTTTAAGTTTAGTAGTTTGCTATTTATATTATTATATTTTATTATTACAAATCTTTGCTCTCTCACATCTATTTTCTCCCTCACAGGTTTACAGCTCAACCTCTAAAGTCCCATATCTGGCTGAGGAGACTGTGGATCATCCAGGTACTATGCCTTTAGATGCCTATACACACATTAAAATGATGTACAGTAAAAATTACTTGTAATTTTAACTACTAATTACTTAGTAAATTACTAATTGTCATTTCATGTCATTTAGAACATCACCAGTGGAAAAAAGGTGTGAATGCATCCTCAAAGCCCCTAAGTGAGGGACATGGTAAGCTATTTTATTTTATTTTTTTAAACATTTTGTATTTTCCTCTTAAACCAATTCCTCCTTTCACCTTTGATCTGTTGGAAAATGTTTTATGTTTTTACCTGACTTTTTTAGGATGCTGGGCATGATGTGCAACACCACCTTATGAATCTACAGTAGTTACATTAACATTTAGCAAACTCTTTTGTCTAAAGTGACTTACAATTGAGGACACATTCAGCAAATCAACAAAAAGAGGCAATACACCCAAGATGTGCTAATTATACAAAAAAAATTAAGAATTTAAGAATGCTTCTATATGTGGTTTGTCAAGCCCACACACCTGTGTGAAGCAGACTTCATGCACAATGTTTTGTTTTTTGTTTTTTAGATATAGGGAGTAGTTGTAAGAAAGTGTCTGGTGCAAATGTGCATAAATGGTGCAAGTGTCAGAGAGGTGAATGTGTGTAGCTATTGCACGTTCTGTGATGGTTGGTCTAATTTATGGTGTAGTGTTGATCGTGTTACTTTGCTTTAA